CCCAAGGGGGCCATCTCCTGAGGCTTCTCTGGGCCATCTTCCTGGTTGGGGGTCTGGCTGTCCCCCAAGGGGGCCATCTCCTGAGGCTTCTCTGGACCATGCTCCTGTCTGGGGCTCTGGCTGTTCCCCAGGGAGAATGTTCCCTGGAGGTTCCCAGAACCTTGCCTACAGTAGGGGTTCATCTGGTCCCACGGTGGGGACATCTCCTGGAACCCCATTCCAGGCCACAGGTCAGCTGGATGTGGAACTGCTGCTACTGGTGCTGGCGGTGGTGCTGGTGGTGGTGGTAGTAGAAGTGGTGGTAGAGGTGTTGAGTATGGGTATCCCATTGCGTATGGAGCAGAGAATGGTTGTGGAGCCATCGCAGGCAAAGAGGGTTGCATGGTCTGGGCCCAGGAATTCGGTGTTGCCTGCACGTAAAACAGAGATGCTGGGGCTGTCATCTGTGCCTGCAAATGTAGCATGTTCTGTGCCCCCACAGGCATGAAGTTGCCCTGGCTCGCTGCGTTCAGGGGCCATGCTGCAGGGCCACACGGATAAGCCAGATTGCCAAACTGGAACTGCTGGGACAGCCAATTGACCTGTGCTAATCGCTCCACCTGGAGCTGCTGGAGAAGCATGTCGCGATCACTCAGGGCTTGTTGCAGAGCAACCTGTGTGAACTGCAGTTGCAAATTTTCCTCCTTGAGATCCTCACGCAGCTGCTCTAGCTCCGAGGTCAGGGCGCTAGAAGCCACTTCACACTCCTCCACCTGCTCCTGCAGCTGCCGAATCTGGCCCTTTTGCTCCTCCAACTGCCTCACGGCCACGTGCACACTCAGGGCCAGTGCGCTCCAGGTGTAGGCCCTCTTGATAGGAAGGGGCACCTCTGGGTCCACCATGATAGACTTAAGCTTGTCCTCCACCTCGCTCCAGGGCTGGCAGCGGAAGGCCGTGTAAAACTCCGGGCCACCACCATTCCTGAGGATCTCGTTATTGATGAACCAGATCACCTCCTCGTGGCGGAACCCACTCCAGCAGTCTCCAAAGTCTACGGCCATGGCTGCTGTGGCCTAGTCAGCCTATCCGCCTCACGGGACGCCGGAGCTGCCGGTACAGGCGATGGCCTTCAACCGGTCAGCCACTCTGTGGTCTCTGCTCAGTCCTGCCCTCCTCCTCAGCTTCTTTCGTTTCTTCCCTCCTTCCTCACCAAGGCTGAAGCTGACTTTCACCGCACCCACCGCACCGACCGCCTTTACACAGGCCTCGAATCAAGTCACCGAGGCGAGCCGCAATGCCTGCTGGGACCGACGTACCTCAGCAGCGCGCCCCCTGCGTAACGGCGGGATGACCTCAGTCTTTTCTGGACCGCCCCCCGCCCCGCCACTACTGGAGAGTAAACTAAGTGGCTGTACTCAGCTCTGCCTCTGCCTAGAATTGACCTCCGTCAGTCAAGTGTGCCTTTCATGGGGGCAGCCTGGGTGGTTGCCTCAGCTCTTCCTGGGACCACCTGTCCTGGATATAGCACCCCTTGCAGGGCAGGCTGTCTGGGCGGTTGCCTCAGCTCTTCCTGGGCCCCCATCGACCTCGGCAGGGTGCTTCCTGTGGGGCAAGAGGCTGAGTTACTGTACTCAGCTCTGCCTGGGCTGAGCTCCATCAGTCCAGTGCTCCTGTTGTGGTGGACAGACTGGATGGCTGAGCTCACTTTTTCCAGAGACTGACTTCTGTGGTGGCTGGCTGTGCTTGGGACTGCCTGAGCCCAGATGGGGATGGAAGGGTTGGGGGAAGGTTGGGGGGCGTTGTGTGCCTTGGGAGGTGGGGAAGGTTCCTTGCAGGCAATAAATGGAGCCATTTATTCATGCACCCAGGGGGTGGGATTAGACCTTCACCCACACTCACACTGAAAGGGAGAGTCAGAGAACTTCTGAAGTGGGAGAGTAAGATGGAGGACACTAGGGTTGCAGGGCTCTTAGTTCCGGAAAGTGATTAGAAATGCAAGCTAGGTGGTCTATCAAAACCTAGGAGAGGAAGGGTAGAGCAGGGTTGAGAACTTGAGAAGGCTGGGCATGCCCTGCTTCTGTGGGGGAGATCACGAGGACACATGATGGGGTAGCTGTGGGAACCAGATTCATTTGTGTGCCCTGCACAGCAGAGAAGTTAGGCAGCTGTGGGGGACTACAGAGACCAAACCATGGGGCATGGCTGGCCAGGGACACTAGAAAGGGCACCACTGCAATGGCTGAATGGATAAAGAGGAAAGGGAAGCCAGACCAAGAAGATGTTCTGGAAAGATAGGGAGCTATCAAGGACTGGAGGCCACAAAGAAGAGTGGCCTCATGCAGTGAAAAGGAGGGAAGGACTTTTCAGACTCAGCATCTTGGCCTGGAGTGTTCTGATGGATGATGAGAATGTGTGTGAACATGGGTGGGAGAAGTGAATCGGGGTGAAGTTATTAGGTCTTTGTTTCTGGGGGATTTTGGTGGATACCACAAGCCGTGTGAAGGGGGTTTTCCAATGTGGAGTGGGAAGAAGGGGGCTGTTCTTTGCTCAGGTCCATCTCTTGTACCTCTCAGCTGCCATACTGTCATCAAGCATGTTCAAGTTGCTTCCATGTTCTATAATGTTTTTCCCTACATTTCCTGTACCTTAATTTCCACCTGTAAAACTGTACTTAGAGTATTGTGATAAAGGCACCACCAGTGACTCACCCCCACTAAAAATCTCAAGTTTTTTCTATCTTGACCTTTCTGTAGACTTGGACTCTTTTGACCCTTCCATTTTGAAATTCTTTATTCCATTTTTTCAGTAACACCAAACTATTGAGTTTCCTCTTGACTGGCTACTCCTCCTCTACTTTTGCTGCCTGTTCCCCTTTCACTCGTCTTTGAAACATTAGTGCCTCCATGAATTTTGACCTTCAGACTATTTTCCCAGGCACTCTCCCTCATTCCAGATGCTCTCTGTGTTGCCATCTGTTCTCTTGCTCTCACCTGCCATCTAATTGCTGAAGATTCCCAAAACTTCCTATGTAGCCCTGCTCTCTCCCCCAAAACATCATTCACTTAACAACAACCTTCTGGAAGTCTTCACCTGGTTCTTTCTTAGGGGTACTGTATTCTCCCTAAGTCCTAAACTCATTAACAGCACTTGGGACAAATGACTTGTTAAGTTTCTTAAACTTTCTGAGGACCTGCCTCCTTAAAGAGTTTGTTGTGAGGATGGCATTAGAACAAATATGTATCGTTGTTGTTACTGGTTGCTGTTGAGTCTGTTCTGACTCAGGGCGACCCCAGGTGTGCAGAGTAGAAGTGTTCCATAGAGTTTTCAAGACTGCGATGTTTCACAAGCAGAGTGCCAGGCCTGTTTTCCAAGGCATCTGTCTGTGGGTTCAAGCCACCAATCTTTAGGCTAGTAGTAGAACATATAACGATTGGTGACATCCAGGGACTCCATGTGTAAAGTGCCTGGCAATAATGATCATTTTCTTTCATCTTCACCATTGTTATTAGAAAAGGCTTCATGGGGAAGGTGGGCCTTTATCTGGGATTTGAACAAATGAGTAGAATTTAGATGAGGACAGTGAGATGTTTCTGTTATTTACCAGTTGGCTGTGTGGCCAAGATTTGTACCAGGTCACCCTGTTCTGCCATATCCAGTTGAATTAAATTTCTCAATTCATATAGCAACTGCCTCTTGTACTTTCATTCCATTACGTTTTTAGAAGCTGACATCTGGTCCCCCACCTACCTGCCTTCTACATTTCAGCTATTTCCACGGATGCTCTTTGCTAGAGCTACACACATCTGATACCACCAAGGAGGCACCATGTGTGTATTGGCATTTGTGATATTTCCAGGATCTATGTTGCCTTCTGGCTGCTGAAGGCATCATCTGCCTCTAAGAAACAAAGCACATTCTGTATATGAAACGTAGAAATGTAGGGTTGTTGGGGGTGTAATTAGGGCTATACTTAGGAATATACAGAAAAATGAAAACATTTTAAGGGGATATAGTTCTGAGGATAAATGATTTTCATCTGTAATAGTAATAATAATCATATCTCCTTAAGTTAGTGTGGTAGTTAAGGTCATGTGTCAATCTAGCTGGGCCTGGTTTTGAATGGCTGGGCAGTGGGGTGGGGGGGTAAGTAGTACCCATGATGAGACTGGTAATCAACTCCATTGTGGAATCTACTGTGAGCAGCTGAGTAGCTGGCTTGGAAACGTGGTCTGTTCCCAGTATGTAAGAAGCTTTAGGAATGGTCTGTAGCTTTTGGCATGCTTGAATCTCGCATGGAGCTGAGTCGTTATTCAGTAGCCTGCCAAGTTGTCTGCCGATCTTGGGACTCTTAATGGACTTGAATCAATGACCTGCCATGTGGTTTGGTAGTATCTGGGCCTGTGCCTTTTTGCTTGTCGACTTGGATTTGCCAGACTCAGCAGCTGCCTAAGAAAAGCCACCACCTTCAGTAGGCCAGGAACAACAGGCATAGCTGAAGCCCAAGGTCGGGGGGCTTTCACTCAGCCCCTAGAGCCTGGCACTTTAAATTCAGACTTCTAGCCTCCAAAACTGTAAGAATAAACTCCTGTTTGTTAAAACCCACCCATTTTCTGTTTCTGTGGTATTTTCTGTTACAGTGGTACTAGGTAACCAAAACAGTTAGTAATAGAAAAAAACAAATAAAACGGAAAATTCAGGTATTACCTGGAATATTTTAATTTAGTTATCTATGTCCACAACTAGGTAGATAACATTTCCCTGCAAAAACATTTTCATACTTGAACCAATTCAGCTTGCCACATACATATTATATGTGTATGATAAAACATATATATAAGTAGAAGCACTGTTTTCCTAGCTATAGAAAAACACTCAAGTGTAAGAAGAGAAGTCATTAGTATTACCAGCATTAATTGCTTATAATTGGGTATAAAGTGAAGGTAAAAGTAATTCCATTTAAACTGAAACTGAAGTTGTTTGCTGATAACCTTATCAATAGGAACTCTTGCATTTTCATATCATAAGCAATACTGGTGCTAATAAAAATTTCTAATTTTTTTATACAGTAGTAAATAAAGGCAATCTTTCCTAGTGCTTACTGTGCTAGATGCCGTGTACTCTTTGTGTGCATTATCTTATGCAACAATCAACATAATCATGTCAGTTAAGTGATACCTCTGTTTTTGAAATAATTGAAAATTAAAGAAGCTAAATAACACAAAGACCAACAACTAGTGTGTGGGCAGCCAAAACTGGTACCTTGTTTAGGCTGAGTATAAAACCCATGATCCTAACCATGAGATTGGACGGCCTCCAATCACATTTTCCCAGAACTCTAACACCCAAGAAGCCTGTGAATGACACAAACGGTGAAGCGCTCCACTGGGTTGGCAGTTCAAACCCAGTCAGAATGCCTCAGGAGGCAGGCTTGGGAGTCTGCTTCCCAAACATCACAGCCTTGAGAACTCAATGGCAACTAATGATAACAACTAAGACTCAAACTAATAAAATCAACAGTAATAGGTGTGGTAATACATGTGAAAATGTTATACTATAAAAGAAAATGACTTCCAACTGGGACTTCGAACTGGTTCATTCTCGCTCAACCACCTGCTGAAAGTTTGCCTTTCCAACCCAGAGATGTTGAATCAGAATCTCCAATTTAATGAGATTCACAGGTGAGTCTTACAGTCTCAGGTGATTTTATGTCTATTCAGGAATCTTGTTAAAATGTAGATTGATTCAGTACATCTGGGATAGATAATGCAAATCCTCAGCAGGGAGTCGAACCGAATGAACTGGTCTGAGGCCCTGCTTTCAACACAAAAGTAGGAAGAACAAAGCTTTCCTATAACCTTTTAGGTAGCTTAAACGTATGTAAACGTATCTACCGAAAAGGAGTGATCAGTTTTAAAAATAGGAAAATGGGAGTCAGCACAAATTGAAACACATTAAAATCCTGTCCAAGGTAAAAGATGCTCTAACCACTGGATGGGGGCATTCCTGTTCCTTAGATCTAAGTAGGGGAGACCCAGGCCTCAAGAGTTGCATGACAGGAGTT